CCAAGGCCCTTGGCCCGCACCCGGGCCGGCCTTTCTCTCGCCTGCACGATGGCGGTGCACCGACCGCCTCGCCCTCTCCGGGGGGTGGAGACAGCCTCAGAAGACACACCAGCCTGGGCCTCTCAGAGTCATCCCCAGAACACCAGGAGGTGTGAGGGGAATGTCCCCCAGCCTTGGGATGGAGAGGAAAGAGAGGCGGGGAACATGAAGCTCTAGAATGCTCATAAATTTAATGCCACAAAATAAAACTAAAGGATGTATAAATCAAAAGACATCAACAGGGCTTCCGTGGCAGCTCTGGAGTAGAGAATCAGCTTGCCAATGCAGGAGACTCAGGTTTGATCACTGATCCCAGAAGATCCGACGTGCCACAGAGCAACTAACCCAGCGAGCCACAGATACTGAGCTCTGAGCCACTGAGCTCTGGAGCCTGGGAGCCACAGCTGCTAAAGCCCGTGAGACCTAGAGCCCGTGGTCCGCAACGAGAGAAGCGACTGCCAGCAGAAGCTCTCACACCGCAGCTGGAGGGTAGCCCCCCCTCGCCGCAACTAGAGAAAAGCCCACGCAGCAACAAACACCCAGGACAGCCAAAATAAATGATAAATAAATTAAATTAAAGTTGTTTTAATGACATCAACAAATAAGGCCAAAGGGCAAGTAACAAATTGGGAAAAGCTACTGCAGCAAAGACACCAGCCAGAAGGAAACCCAACTGCAAAACGGTAAAAGGCAGGAAGTCACTCTGCGGAAGAGACAGCAGGAAGCGCCCAGGGACACGATCACCAGAGACAAGGACACCAGCGTGTCCGCCTCCACTCTGCCTCCCAAGCGAGTCAGGCAGCCTGGGGTCCCGGCTGCGCTGGGGGAGCGGTCACTGCCGAGGGAGGCGGTGCGACGGCAGTCCTGACTGCGCCGGGGTGACTCTACTCCTAAGGGCCGGTTCCAAGACGCAGAGGCAGGATCTCAGGGAGAGGGACCACAGGCTGACTGCACACGGATAAAACACGGAAACAATTAGCATAGGTCCTTACGACAGAGTACGACTCTATGAATATTGTGTTTTAATGAATTTTTCAGATAAATGATCACAAGACAACATTTAGTGAACAAAGTAAAACTGCTCATCATCAGATTGGCAATGTTTTTTATTTCCTTCTTTTACTCTTCTGTTTTCATAAGTTTCTATAATGAACCACAATGGGCCACAATTATAATCAGAAATAAGAGAGTCGGTGTCATTTTTTCAAGAAGGCTCGTGTGTTCAGTTGCTTCAGTCGTGTCCGACTCTGCCACCCCATGGACTGCAGCCCACCGGGTTCTTCTGTCCGTGAGATTCTCCAGGCAGGAACACTGGAGTGGGTCGCCACGCCCTCCTCCAGGGGGTCTTGCCCTCTCAGGGATCCAGTCCGAGTCTCCTGTGCCTCCTGCATTGCAGGCAGATTCTTGGCCCCCTTAGCCACTTGGGAAGCCCCTTCAAGGAGGCGGAAGGCTGTAAGCTCACTTTAGTAAAGTGTCCACAGAAAAGAGAGCAGACCAGGGTGAGTTTCCGTCTTCTAGATGACGAGCTCTCCCGCTGGCTTGAGGATGTGGAAGGTTCCGGATGAGGAGGTGAGTCTAGATGAACAACAGCAAGCTTTTAAATGTGCTAAATTTTAAGGTTAATCTTCGAGACCAAAAGGGTAAGAAAAAGGCGTAGGAAGAGAAGAGCTGAAGCACACTCCGCGCTGGAACACTCTGCCCAGGACTGTGCCAGGGGCAGCAGGGGAACTGGCCTGTGTGCGGGCTGAGGGGACGTGCGTGGGGTCTTCCCAGCCTGGGCCTTGCTCCAGGACCCACCTGCAGGCCTGTGTCTGCCCCCCGGCAGCCCTGCCCTTCCACCCAGAGTCCGGGGGCTGCTCGAGAGGCAGACGACACTATGGGTGGGCCCTGGGCGCGTGGCCCTGAAAGCAGAGTGGTGGCCGTGGCTCAGCGCACCCTGCTTGAAGGTAGCAGAGCGGCCTGAGGCTGCAGCCGTCTCCCTCGCACACAGGGCCACACCCATGGTCACTCCTGCCACTCACAGCAGGGCCACAGGGGCACCTGGTGGACCAGCCGGCCTCACGGTCCACCTGAGATGGCGGCTCATCCCGGTTGAGGGACGGCCAGGGAGGAGGATGCCGCTGGGCCGACGGGCTCTCGCTCAGGCGGGTCGAGGGGGACCCCAGCAGGCGCCCTGGGGCCAAGCGGGGTGCCAGCCTCCTCTCCCTCTGCCGGGGGAAGGGGGTCACCCGCGGCAGACGCAAGGCCATCCACAAGGAGCTGCACGCAGACCGCGCTGACACCACCTCGGTGTCTGAGGTCTAGTGATCCTGCTGAGAGGGTGATCGCCCGTGTCTGTCTGGCTGTCTGTCTGGCTGTCTGTCTGTCCCAGCCACGCTGCTCTGTCCCATCCACTCAACTCAGATCACGCTCCGCGAGGTCAGACCACCTCTCCCGCACCTAGCTCAGTCATCCAGCCGCCCGCCTGCGACGTGAATGAATGATGCTCCCGAGGTCGGCGCTGCCCGCGGTGGGGACAGGCGCCACCTGCTGACCGGGTTCCCGGTGCAGCGCAGGGCCCCAGGCGCCGCTGTCCACGGTCCTGCCCACCGGCCCTGATCTCCGCGGCCCGCAGCCTTCTGCATCTGCAGGAAACGCTTCCCTGGAAGACGGCAGTGCCTCTTGAGGGCTCCCTGGAGGCGTTTCCTCTTCTCAGCTCAGCGGAATTCCGCGTTTGCACCAAGCCAGGGGAGGCCTGGGAGCTGCCGGGAGGCGTGAATGAGCAGTGTCGGGGATGGGACACGTCCGGAAAATAGGAGGGGATTCCAGACCTGGACACAGAGCGAGCAAAGGGGGGTCAGAAACCGAAAGGTGCGTGTGTCTTCTCAAAGAGTCTGCAATGGGCTCACATCACCCTTGCAAAAAATGATTCACTCACCAGTCAGCTCTGCGCCACTGAGTCGGAGGCCCCAAGGGAGGACACTGTCCCAGGGTCATGGACAGTACTTTGTCCCACTGGATGCGATCGGCCAGGCTTGGCCCTAAACAGAAACAGCTGTTCATTGCAACGCCGTCTGCAGAAGCGACACTAGAAACGGCAGGGCCCGACTACACGGTGATCCAGCCACACGGTGGGGTCCCACATGGCCAAAAGTGACCACGGGGCCATCTCTAGAAACTGCCATGGATGGGCCTGCAGACTAGAGGGTAAAGAAAGCACAGAGGGAAGGGTGAGGTCCTCTGCCGAAGAACGGGAGGGGAAAACACTGTGTATGTGTGTGTGCGTGTATCTGTGTCTCTGTGTGTGTACATCCTTGCTTCTGTTTTTTATAAGCTGTAAAAAATTTGAAAACCATTAACTTTAGAGCAGGGGGAGAATAAGGAGGAACAGATTTCTCCGGGTATAACTTATTTTATAGACTTGTCTGGGAACCATGCAAATATTTCACATAATTATAAAGTTAAATGCAAGTGGGAATATCTCTACGTCTCATGCCAAATGGAACAAATTAACCTATTGTGGGTAAGATTTGGGGCATGACTTTACAGAGAGAATGATTTCAAGTGACTTGAAAGTGGTCACTCGGCTTTATCTTTTAGAGGGATGTGCCTGAAGGTCAAAAGAACTGATAAAAAACATCTTAGATGACACGTGTCGGTGAGGGTGTGGAGAAACAGGAGCCTCGCACACGCCCAGGCGATGAAAGATGCCAGGGACAGCACCCCAGAGCACAGAGGGTCCGTGTGAGGCACTAATTCTACTCCTGGAGGACACCCAGAGAACGGACTCACACGACCGCACACAAACGTGGTCACAGCGACAGCACTCATGACACCCAGACAGTGACCACAGCACACGCCCCGGACAGACGAGCCCAGTGTGGCCCCCCTGGAGGACGAGGCGGCCATGGGAAGGAAGTGCTGACACAGTGAAAGCCCTTCACAAGGGTGGACCTTGACGGCATGATGCTGAGCAAAGGAAGCCAGGCACAAAAGGTCACACGAGTGACTCTGCTCCTGTGGAGCATCCAGAACAGGCGAATTCATGGGAGCCAGAGAGTAGATTCCTGGTTGCCAGGGGCTGGGGGGTGATGCCCACATAGGAAAGGCTGGTACGGAGCGGCAGAGTTCCGCATGGGAGGAGAGGAGAGCGGCCCTGACCCCCAGGGGTCCCGCCAGCCCCCTACCCGCTGCCTGGAGGACCTGCGGCTCTAGGGAGAGGCGCCTACCCGGCGTCTGCCTCTGCGCCGGGAGACCCCTCCCCTGGTGTCCAGCCTCCTTTCCTGCACAGCTCCCACGGCCGCGGGTGGGGGCCTCACCACCCCCCAACTCCCGGCCGACACAGTGCAGCCAGGATGGGGGCCTCGGGCCGGATCCCACCAGAGCACAGAGCGACAGCCACGTGTGGACCTCAGGCTGGGCCCCCGGCACCTCCTTCCTTGAGGCCCCGGATGGGGGTGGGCATATGCGGGGGCGCGGGCCATGCTGGCTGGATCTACTCCCCTCAGTCGAAGCCCAGGCTGTGGCGCAGGGATGGAAGGCGTGTGGGTGCCAGGGCCCCTCCCGCCCGGCCAGCCTGCCTCGCCTGCTCGGGAGCGGCTGGGGGAGACAAGGGGACCCCAGGAACCCTGCGGAGGATCTGCTCGGGGGTGGGGATGTCTAGGGATCCCACCGCGGCCCCCTTGGGCGGCACGCCCAGGCTGCGAACTTGTGCAGCTAACCGTGGCCAGAGGAGCAGCCGCGCCAGTCAGGGGGGTGCCAGGCCCCCGGCAGCGCGCCCACTGCACAGCGGTGCGGAGGGGCTGACTAGGGCCCGGCGCCGCGCCCGCTCGCCAGGAGGCACCCGTAAGGCCAGAAACAAGGCAGTCTAAGCGTACTCAGTGGGCACGTGCGCGCAGCAGGGCCCAAAGCTGCTAAACGGAGCGCAGGACGAGTCCGGCGGCCTGAGCGGCCCTTACCTGGAGCCCGCCGGGGGCGGGGGCTGCTCCTCCGGGGCCTCCTCCTGCTGACGGGAGCCGTCAACCCCTCCGCGCAGCCTGTCCGCCGCATCCCCCGGGGGTGCTGAGCTGTGTGCCAGGCACTTGTCGGAAGCAGGGGCTTCGGGCTCCGGCCTGCCCGGGGCGTCTTCGGAGGGCGCGGGGTCCGGGGCGCCCGCGGGCAGGGCTTCCAGTGGCCCCGCGGCGGAGCCCTTGGCACCCACCTTGGCGGAGCGGATGACGCCGCCCGAGCCGCACTTGCCCCGCAGACTCTGGGCGGCCGCGTCCTCCCCGGCGCCCGCGCAGCCCGCGCAGCAGACGCAGGAGTTGAGGAGGCAGTTGGTGGCCGTGGCGCTGAGTCTGTGGGGGCCGCCAGCCGTCCCCTCGGCCGCCGCGGGAACGCCGTTTCCCGGGACTCCCGGATGGGCGAGGGCGGAGTCCAGGGAGGCGGGCGACTTGGGGTTGAAGATGACCGTGGCCGACAGCTTCATGCCCCCGGTCCGGTGGGCGATCAGCTCGGCCGTCTCGGCGTGCTCCGCGCCCGCCTCCCAGCCGTCCAGGTGGGGCCGCGAGTCCAGGCAGCTGCAGGATTTGGGGGCCGCCGCCCGCAGCGCGGCGCCCTCGAGGCTGTTGTTGTTGCTCGCGTCCTCCCGCTTGGCCGAAGCCGGCGAGCCGACCCCCGCCTCTCGGCCCTCCCCCGTCTCCTGGGGGTCGACGCCGCCGCCGGTGCTGCCCGGGGCCTCGGGCGCCCCGTCCACGTCCTCCATGAAGAACACCCGCCCCTCCTCCTCGTCGCCGGCGGGGGGCAGCTGCGCGCGGCCCGGGGACGCCCGCCCGCGGGGGCTGGCCGCGGCGCCCGGCCCGTGGGCGGGGGAAGGGCCGGCGCTGGGCGGGGACAGCAGGGAGGCCATGGCGTCCCCCGCGCTGTGCACCAGGCGGCTGAGCTGCTCCAGCTCCTGGTCGTCGTTCTGCACCGAGCAGGCCAGCTCCGCGTCTGCGCGCCTGGGCTCGGCCGGGGCCAGGGCCGGGGGCGCCGGGACGTCCGCCCGGACGGGCAGCTCCACGTCCTGCGAAATGCAGAGGTTCCGCTCCAGCGTGTGCAGCTCCTCCTCCGTCAGCGTCTGCAGCAAATCCCTACAAGGGCCCAGGCAGGAAGGAAGAGTAAGGGCCCCTGAGACGACCGCCCCGCCAGCCCCCAGGCCAATGGGCCTGGGCACCGGTGGTGCCTGCAGTGATCCCCGCAAGGTGTCGATGCCTCCAGGGTCGCCGGGGCCTCGGGTCGGGACAGCAGCCCTTTGGGGTGGCTGACTGATTCTAGAACGCACTCTTCCTTAAAAATGAGATTCTGAAGCTTCTTGCTGAAAAACAAGAAAGCCCTGATTCTCAGTGATAACTGCATTAGTAAAACCTTCTGTGAGTGAAAAGATACATGTTGGTTTAACACATAGGTTTTCACCCTTTGGTTCAACAAATACACTTGAGCACTACGTGCCAGGCCCAGGGTGACACACAGGAAGACTGGCATGGTCCCTGCCCGCGTGGGTTCTGCAAGAAAGATGCAGATAACAAACACTTATGAGCGAAAATGGACAGACAATCGTGGCGGCGGCGGCAGAGGGACGTGCCCGCCAGGAGGCGGCACCGGACACCCTGGAGACTCCCTGGAGGTGGCGGCACTGAACTGAAGGCAGAGTGGATTCAGTGACGACGACTGGGATGAGCCCAGCGTGGGTCCTACAGGTCCCATGTCTCAGAACCGCTCAGCTGTGGCTTTTCATAAGCTGAACACACTCTGCAAGCAGCACTCAGATCGAGAAATACAGCGCTCACGGTGCTCCCAGGAGCCCCCACACACCCCCCAGCCCCGCCGTCACCCCACCCCACATTCCCTGCAGTGATCACACCTGTTCTTCTCCAGGTGGATGGACTCCGTGGCCCGCCCTGCTCCCCGGCCCGTCAGCTCTACATTCTGGACGGCTCCTCCGTCTGCACTGCTCCGCGGCAGGCTGTCAGCCCGTGCTGCATGTGTGAGGAGGCGCCAGAAGAGACACTGGACACCCAGTTAAATTGGAACTTCAGGTAAACAACAAATACTTTTTCTTTCAAAGAAGGAGTGTTTTTTTTTAAAAATTATTTGTATTTATTTATTTGGCTATGCTGGGTCTTAGTTGAGGCTAACTTTGATCTTCGGTGCAGCATGTGGGATCTTTAGTTGAGACCTGTGGGATCTAGTTCCCTGACCAGGGACCAAACCCAGGCCCCCTGCACTGGAAGCTGGGAGTCTTAGCCACTGGATCACCAGGGAAGTCCCAACAAATACTTAAAAAGTATATGAATATTTTTTAGAGTAAGTATGTCCCAAATGGCCCCCACTGGGGACATATTTATTCTAACAAATTATTACCGTGTATCTGAAATTCAAGTTTAATCCGACTTTCTGCTGTTTCGCGGTTCCAGCCCTGGCAACCCTCTCTGGTGAGACGTGTGGTTGTAAATCCTTTCGTCTCTCCCGGTGGAAACGCCCCACAGGTCACCTCTGAAGCTGTTCTACACCCCAGGGGCCCTGGCTGCCGGAGCCACGTCTCTGAGCCCCTGTCCTCGGGAGGGCGGGGGTGAGTTTCTGCAAGTGAGGGTGCTGAGCTGGTGAGGAGCAGGTCCCCGCCCAGAGCCCAAGGGCACTCGGCCTTCCCCATTTCCTCCTCTCTGGTGAGTGTGCAGTGGTTCCTCACTGAGGTTTTAAACTGTCTAGCCTGCTCACTCAGGAGGCTGTGCACCCGTTCACATGCCAGCCGACCCCTAGAGATCCTCTCTGAAGTGCCTGTTCAGGACTTTCGCCCATTTTTGTTGGGCTAACTCTTCTTACAGATTGACAGGAGTTCTTTATGTAATTTTGGATCCGAGTTCTTCACTGGGTGTCGTTTCCAGCTCGCAGCCTTCTCACTCTAAATGGTGTCTTTGAACAAACTCAAGTTTCTAATTTCAGTCAAGTTGAATATGTCATGCTTCTCTCTGTGGTTGGTGTTTCTCTGCCCTGTTGAAGGAATCTGCCTACTCGAAAAGCACAAAGATGTACTCAATTTTTTCCTCTGAAAGCATTGTTTTACTTTTCACCTTTGTACTTGCAATCAACCTAGAATTGACATGTTCCTGAGTGTAGTAACTTCCCCGATGGCGCAAGTGGTAAAGAATCCGCCTGCCAATTCAGGAAACACAAGAGATGCGGGTTCAATCCCTGGCTTGGAAAGATCCCCTGGGGAAGGAAATGGTAATTCACTCCAGTATTCTTGCCTGGAAAATTCCATGGACAGAGGAGCATGACAGGGTCACAAAGAGTCGGACACAACTGAGCAAGTGAGCACGTTTGAGTGTATTAAGGATCTTTTTCCTCGTGTGGATATTTACTGGTTCAGCTGTTCATGGAAAAAGCCAGCCATCCTCCACTGTTCTGCCGTCACCCTTGTCGTAAACCACGTGTTGGTCGCTCCGGACCCTCTGTTCTGTCGAAAGCCCTGTGCACTACACCTCTGCCAGCGTGACGACGATTTATGACAGGAAGTGTCTCCAACTCTGCCCGTTTTTTCTGAAGCACACTCAGCAGAAATGTACACGTATGTTCACAAACTTGGTCACACCAGCACCGTCTGTGGAAACTACCCAAAGGCAACTCAGAGCAGAACAGAGAAATGATATTCTTCTCCTTTTCCTCCAGCAATTGTTTTGTTCTTGGCTATTCCAGGCCCTGTGCCTTTCTATGTGAATTTTAGAATTAGTTTGTCGATTTCCACAAAAGAAAAAGCCTCTTGGGATTTTGTTTGAGGTTGCATTGGACTCAGAGATAAATTTGAAAATCACTGATATCCTCTTGGTATTGAGTTTCCCACTCCCTGAATATGAAACAGCTATTTACTTAGGTCTTTAAAATTTGGGGTCAAAAACATTTTGTAACTTCCAGTAGAGGTCTCAGACATCTTTAGATTTATGCTTAAGTAATTAATATTTATTGACACTATTACAAATAATACTTAAATTTTTCTATTGTGATAAAATACAAGTAACATAAAACTTCCCACCTTAACCATTTTAAGTGACAGTTCAGTAGTATTCACCAGGGTTTCCCTGGTGGCTCAGCTGGTAAAGAATCTGCCTGCAGTGTGGGAGACCTGGGTTCAATCCTGGGTTGGGAAGACCCCCTGGAGAAGGGAAAGGCTACTCACTCCACTATTCTGGCCTGGAGAATTCCATGGACTGTATAGTCCACAGGGTCTCAAAGCTGGACAGGACTGAGCGACTTTCATTTTCAGCGGTATTAAATATATTCATATTGCTGCGCATCCATCCCCTAGCACTTCATCTTATAAAACTAAAACTCAGTCCCCATGAAACATCATCCACTCCCTCCAGCCCCTGACAACCACCATTTGTGCTTTCTGTCTCTATCATTCAATGATTCTAGGCAACTTCTGTCATTGGAATCACACACTATCTCTTTGTGATTGGCTCACTTCATTGAGCATGACCACATAGTTCATCCATGTTGTAGCATGTTTTTAAGGTTAAATAATATCCTAGTGTAAGGCTGGACCGCATTGTGCTTATCCATTCATCTGTCAACAGTTGCTTCCACGTCCTAGCTGCTGTGAATGATGCTGCAGTGAACACAAGTGTACAAATCTCTCTTCAAGATGCTACTTTCAATTCTCTTGGGTAAAAAGCCAGAAGAGGAATTGCCAGAAATCATGGTAGTTCTCTTTTAATATTTTGAGTAACCTCCAGAGCAGCTGCACCATTTTACATTCCCACCAGTGGTTCACAAGAGTTCCAATTTCTCCACATCCTCACCAGCGCTTGTTGCTTTCTAGTTTTTGTTTTGTTGTTTGATAGTAGCCTTCCTTGTGGGTGTGAGGTTTGGATTCTCGTCTCCCTAACAATCGTCAGGTTGATTCATGTACTTACTGGTCATCTTCTCTGGAGAAATGTCTATTCATGTCCTTTGCCCATTTTTAATTGGGTTGTTTATTTGTTGTTGTTCTTGGTGTTGAGTTTTAGGAGTTTTCCACATATTCTAGGTATTACTCCCTTATCAGATATATGATACGCAAATATTTTCTCCCATTCTGTGGGTTGCCTTTTTACTCTATTGTAGTGTCTTTTGAGCCACAAAATTTTGAAATTTTCACAAAGTCCAGTGTGTCGAATTTTTCTTGTTACCTGTGCCTCTGGCGTCACATCCGGAAAACCACTGCCAAGTGTGACGTCATGAGCTTATGTCCTACGTTTTCTCACAATAATTTTGTAGTTCTAGCTCTTACATTTAGATCTTTGATCCATTTTGAGTTAATTTTTATACAAGGTGTTAGGTAAGCATCCAATTTCATAAGTGTGTGCATATGTGTGTATATCTTTTATTAGATTAAGGAAATTCATCTATTCCTAATTTGCTAAGAGATGTTTTGATCATAGTTGTCATTTTTTTCAAATTCTTCTTCTGTAACTTTCAAAATGATTTGGTTTTTCTTCCTTTTTAAAAATTAATACAGAAAAACATTAACTTTATTTTCAAATGTTAAACTATGCTATGCATAAGTTAAACTTCCTAAGACATTATAATCATTGTTTTGTACAGCCCTTATTCATTTATACTAATTCACATCAGGGTCTTAAGTCTCTCCTGTGCACCCACATTTCCATCTGGGATTTTTTCCTTTGTCGAAAGAACTGCAATTAGCTTTTTTTTTATGCGCAGTCTGGTGATAAAATTTCTTTAGTTTTGTATTTCTGAATAGCCCACTATTTCATCTTATTTTTTGTAGAATATTTTTCCTGGTTATAAAATTCTGATTGGCAGCTTTTTCTTTTCTGCACTTTAAATATACGCCATTTCATTGCCTGCTTCCATTGTTTTTAAGAAGACAGCTGTCCATTTAAATTCATTTCAAAGTAATACGCCCTTTTCCTCTGGCTGTGTTTAAGGGTTTTCTCCGTTTCAGCCGTTTTCCTGTGACATGCCCAGGTGTATTTTATGTTCATCTTGCGTGTAGTTTTCCTGAGTCTCCTGAATCTGTGGGCAGAGATTTCTCTTCAGTTTTGAAAACTTCTTGGCCATTCTTTCTCTGAATACAGCTTCAGCAAACTGCCCGTTTTCTCTATTCCTTCCTTCTGATCCTAATTACGCATGTTAGACTCCCGAGTGTGTCACCCATCTCCGAGGCTCTGGACTCTGCCCCTCCAGACTCCCCAGCACCTGGCCCCTCCCCAACCCCATGCGCCCACCCTCCCCCACAGCCACTGCCCACCCAGGGCCTGCTCTTCCCTTCCCGGCCTAGGATCATCCACCCTCTTCCCTTGCTTCTTGTCTCCTCTCCCAGCTGAGCGCCCCAAGAGGGCAAGGGACTCAGCCTCTGGGTCCAGCATCACGTCCTGCTCAGTACGCCCACTGACCCTCCTGAGGCTTCCCAGGTCACTCCTCCCTGTCAGGATTCAGAGCACACTTGGCTCCCGACCAGGCAAAGGGCAAGAAGGCCAGCGGAGCAAAGCTGCCCTGGGCCAGGAAGTCCTGCCAGGCCCAGGGAGAGCGTGGCAGGGGGCCCCAGGGTCCTGGACCAACAACTAGGGGGACTTCTCGGGGACCAGGGATGGTGGGAGGAAAGACCTCAGGGTCCGCCGAGATGGGGCCAGAGAGGTGCCCAGGGGACGCAGCCTCGGGGGACAGCCCCCGCTGACCCACCCTGACAGGAGCCTCCGCTGGGCCCTGTCGCTCACAGAGGCCACAGCTGGGAGGGTGGGGGGCGGCAAGAGGGGGGAGAATGAGCCTCAGGGCAGGGGAGGCACTGTTCACTGAGAACTGAGCGCTTCACCCCTAAACTCACCAACACCCTAAACCAGTCAGTATCCCTAAACTAGTCTACACCCCTAGTCAGTATCCCTAAACCAGTCAGTATCCCAAAACTAGTCAACACCCTAAACCATTCAGTATCCCTAAACTAGTCAACACCCCTAAACTAGTCAACACCCTAAACTAGTCAACACCCCTAAACTAGTCAACACCTCATAAACTAGTCAACACTCCTTAAACTAGTCAATATCCCTAAAGTGGTCAATACCCCTAAACTAGTCAACACCCCTTAGTTAATACCACTAAACCAGTCAACACCCCTAAACCAGTCAATACCTCCTAAACTAGTCAACACCCTAAACTAGTCAGTACCCCTAAACTAGTCAGTACCCCTAAACTAGTCAGTACCCCTAAACTAGTCAGTACCCCTAGTCAACACCCCTAAACTAATCAATACCTTTAAACTAATCAACACCCCCTAAACTAGTCAACACCCTAAACTAGTCAACACTCCTAAACTAGTCAATATCCCTAAACTAGTCAACACCCCTAAACCAGTCAAAGAACTAGTAGAAGGCCCGTGCCTGGGCCCCAGTCCAGTGCATGTGGGGGACCTGGCCCAGGGGGATGCCGTGGGTGGCCCTGTCCACCCCGCACCACCCAGTTTCACAGTCGCTCCGTCACAGAGACGTTTCCATGAGAAACCAGAAGGGGGCCTGGCGTCCATGCCGTCAGCCAGGGCGGCTGGGGTCTTGGGACAGGACGTTTGTGTGTGGTTAAGGCCAAGAACAAGAACCTGTTCTGTGGGGGAGAAAGGGGTGGGGGTGAGAGGGAGCTCTGAACAGTGGACCCAACGGTAAAGGCACCAGCACCCCCGACGTGAGCGGAGGTCAATGCCGGGGCTTTCGGTGAACAGAAGGCAAAGAATCAGCTTCATAGAGACGTGCAAAGGCAACCACGCTCTGAAGCTGTGCCCCGAGGAAACACATACCCTGGAGCTATCAGAGGGCAAAGCAAGACCACACTCGTCCAGAGAGGTCACTGCCAGCCCTGGACCAGTCGCAGCCCCGAGGGGCGCAGGGGCACACACCGCCCTCCCCTCACCTGATTTTCCGCAGCAGCGTGTGGAAGGGCCGGAACAGCTCGGACATGTCCTCCACCTTGCGGTCCAGGTTCAGGGGTCCGTCCGAGTAGACCACGAGGCCACTGCATCCAAGACACAAAGCCAGCGCGGCCTCAGCCCTGTGGCCACGGGGCCAGTCAAGACCACTCCTGCACGCGCTCCCCTCTGCGCTCGAGTTGTAAATAAATTAGGAGAAAGCAGTGAAGGTTACCCAGATTTCATCCCTTTTCAAAACTGGTCAGCCTGTGTTCGTTTGAGGGATCATAAAATAATCATAAAACATGTTTGCACACTTCTCTGCTGCCATCAAATAAATTAGCATCGAGATTTGTTGCTAAATCTACCTCCTTGAAAGTGGAAACACTGGCGTGCTAAGTCGTTTCAGTCACGTTCAGACTCTTTGAGACCCTAAGGACCGTAGCCCACTGGGTTCCTCTGTCCATAGGATTCTCCAGGCAGGAATACTTGGAGTGGGTTGCCACGCCCTCCTCCAGGGGATCTTCCTGACCTAGGGATCGAACCCTTCTTTACCGCTGAGCCACCAGGGAAGCCCAGAAACACCGGATTTGTGTTTAAATATAACACAGACACAGGGTTTGTGAGAACTGGCTCTGAAAACACCTACTGCAAAGAGAAACAGGAGTTGGGACTGAGGCCCTCCCACCAGCCCGGGAGCCCTGACCCCAGGGCTGGCCCCTTGGCGGTGGGGAGGGGCCCTTCGGGGGCACTGCATAGGTGGGGTGAGACTTTCCAGATGGTGGTGGTTCAGTTAATGGTGTTTGGGGAACAATTTCCCAAGACAGAACCTTGACTTGGCAGGTAAATGTGCTGGTCACAGCACAAAGGCAGAATGAAAACAGGCAGAAAAAAAAGGTGGGTTTGGGGAATCCAGGGTTAGTTGCTCTGTGGCAGGTGGGGTCTTAATTCCCCTGCATTGAAAGGGGGATTCTTAACCTCCGGACCACCACGGAAGTCCCAAGAGTATCATTTTTAACCAGTCCTTAAATTCTGGATAGGGCTTCCCTGGTGGCTAAGTTGGTAAAGAATCCGCCTGCAATGCACGAGACCCAGGTTTGATCCCTGGGGTTGAGAAGATCCCCTGGAGAAGGCAATGACAACTCACTGCTGTACTCTTGCCTCGAGAATCCCATGGACAGAGGAGCCTGGCGGGCTACAGTCCATGGGATCGCAAAGAGTCGGACACGACTGATTTAATACTTTCACACTTCAATTCTGGATACATACCTCCCTACCAAGTTTTTATGATTAAAAATAAAATTCCAGTGAAAAAGCTTCATAAATACGTGTTTTGTGTCCTGCTAGGTCAACACGACGAAATTCTGCAGGAATTCGCTGTGCTACCTCCTGCCAGGCACCAAGGACATTGGGTGACTGGGGGAGGACAGTGCTCCGTGACACAGGCCAGTGGGGGGACACAAAGGTGAGCCAGACCCACTTACACGAAACCTCCCGAACCAGAAAACCTACAGAGAGGTGGGAGGACAGGGGTGGGGGTGGCGGCCGAGGGGTCGGTGATCTCTTTTCAGAGACAACGGTCACTGAAATCAGTGGTGATGGTTGTATAACCCAGAAGCACGCGCTTCTGCCCAACACCCTTGCTTTCATCTTAGACAGGCTACCTAAGGGCTTCCTTCGCGTTCTACAGCAGGTTCCGTCTAAGACGGCGGAAGCTGATGGGAGTTTCCCAAGAGGATCTGGTTTCTCCCAAGACCACCATCGAGACCTCGCAGAGGGAAGGCAGCTCGGGGCCCAGTGAGGCCAGAAAAAGCGAGGTGCGGGCCACACCCCGAGCCCAAGGGAAGCCGCAGGTGTGGCGGGGGGGGACACCATGCATCCCAAGGCGGCTGCTCAGGCTTCTCTGAAGCTCTGGCACCAGCTGTCCACCCATGTTTCCGGGTCTTGACTGCCTAGGTCCTCCCTGCACTGCAGGGCATGTGGGACTCTGCTCCAGAGTCCCGGGCAGTGGCGTCTGCCCAGCTTGCTCCCCACTGGTCCTGCACGTGGCACACGACCCATATAGGCCCCTGTGGTCCAGGCTACGGACACCCCTATGTCCCAGAGGCCGGGCCATGGGAACTGCTCACCCCCACAAGGGTTCTCCCCGTGGCCTGTGCGTGGACCGGTCCTGGCCCACGTGTCCACCCCACGCTCCCTGGGCCAGTCCACCGATGGCCACACCTACCAGCGGCCTCCGCTCCCGGCACCCCAGATGCCCCATCCCTCACCTGGTGGGAGGGCAGGCGGTCACCATCTGGGAGTCCAGGTGTGGGTGAGCAGCCGTGGACCAAGGCCAGAACACCTGGGCTCTGACCTTGGCTCCACGAGTCTCCAAGACGCCCAGGATGTGACTGAGCGCTTCCCGCCTCCAGCTTCTTAGGCCTGAGCCCACGTGGTGCCTGCCATCTCCGAGGCCGCGAGCCCGCAGGCCTGACCTAGAGCTCCACCAGGCCCCCCTGCTCTTCAGCCCACAGGCCCCCCTCCCAGCCAGCCCACGAATCGTCCAGACAAGCTCGTCACATCCTCCCCAGGAACCAGGGGCACCTCGCCTCTCGTCCCTGCAAAGCGGGCTCCCACAGCCCCTGCTGGTTCCCTGTGCCTGAGCATGGGGTCCTCCCCGCCACGCTGGGCATGCCCGTGGCTGTCACGCTCACCTGTCCCCTCCGTCGAGGCTGGGGGGTCCCTCCCGCACCAGGGTGGGGGGCACCTGGAACGCCTGGCTCCTTGTCTGCTGGGACAAGGGCAGGCCCACCCGGGGACTGCTCCGTGGCGGGGGGACGGCCTCCTTCAGGGTACGAGCACCGCTCACCACCACCCAGAGGGGCCTGGCACCCCTGGGTTTCTGCAAAACGACCGCCCGGGGCACCGTGAGGGACACTCACCACACGATGGCCAGCCGAGGGATGGTGAACATGAGGGCCGGCTCGTAGTCGTNCCGCTCACCACCACCCAGAGGGGCCTGGCACCCCTGGGTTTCTGCAAAACGACCGCCCGGGGCACCGTGAGGGACACTCACCACACGATGGCCAGCCGAGGGATGGTGAACATGAGGGCCGGCTCGTAGTCGTCAATCATGTCCTGGGTCAGGTACCCGAAGCCCAGGGCCCTGGCGGGGAGGAGACAGGGGGCAGGCGTGACCATGGCCCGACGGGAGCCGGGAGGGCGGCCGTGCAGGTCTCACGTGTGGACACGCGGAGGACGGCAGCTGGACAAGCCCACTCCAAGAGGCCCGGCACGGGCAGCTCCCCCTCGGCCTCCCCCACCTTCCCATCTCCCTACCCACCGCTGGATGGAAGTGGGGAGCAGGAGAGAGGTGCCCGCCGAGAGGGGCTGGTGGGCACAGCTTGCCATCCAACGCCCGAGAGTAAACGTGGTGCAGAAACGCCACCCTGAACCATTAAGAGTCCCTGAGAGGCCAGCAACTGCTCTCCTGCGTTCACCCACTTCCAGGGAGATGGCGTCCCTGACGCGTGGGCAGGTGCGCCTCAGCATGTTCAAAACCAAAGGTTTCCTACCGTCTGACCATTTGCTGATTTGAAATATCTATCAACGCCTAAGAGTGAGCAATCGGTCTCAAAAAATTAACAAACTTACGGCGTGACACTGTTGTTGTTTAGTCGCTCAGTCGTGTCCGACTCTTCGGTACCCCATGGACCGTAGCCCACCAGGCTCCTCTGTCCATGGGATTCTCCAAGCAAGAGTACTGGAGTGGGTTGCCATTTCCTTCTCCAATGATGTGATATTAGGCAAATTCAAAACTCACCTGCCACCGAATCACTTGTCAAATACGAGGACTATTCCAGATTCAGTCTAGTCATAAAACCTGACTTCAGGTCTGACCCCCCTACCCGAACAAGGTATGCTTAGATTACCGATGAATCACCCCTGAAACCCAGCCCATGAGGGCTCCATCCTGGCCTGGCGGGGAGAGGAGTGGAGGACAGGAAGTGAGGAGCGGGAGGAGGAGAGGGAGGAGACGGGTGAGGAGGTGAGGAGCCTGGCTCCTGGGGCTGAGTCTGGAGCCCCCCTGGACCCAGCGAGCTTCACCTGCAGGACCCACCTTCTGGGCCCAGAGAAACGGGACTGTGGGGCTGAAGGGGGGCGCAGTCAGGGCTGATGGACGCGGCGCACGGGCACAGCGCCCTTCCCGGGTGCAGCCCTCCCCCAGGTCGGGGTGGCGGGGGGAGCGGCCCCCAGGTCACAGGGCCTCACCTCTCCACTGTCTCGCAGAACAACACGATGACCTCCTGCTGCACGTAGTACTCCCGGGGGGACTTCACGGGCACCATGGCCGACACGTAGCTGCAGGCACAGGGGTGGGGGTGAGGGCCACACCCGGGCGCCCGGCCGTGTCCCCGAGCCCAGAACGTCTTAACGGATGACCAAATGGGGTCCCTCTGACTGCAGCCCCCTGGCGCCTCTCAGGGGCTCACAAGCTCGCAGCCCCAGCATCACCGCCCCTATTTTGAGCCGAAGCTCCTACCTCCTCGGGCCCACAGCCCGGCCGGGAGCCGCCACTGCTCATTCTGAGAGGCCCCCACCTCGCGGGAAGGAGGGGGTGACCACGTGCATCCAGGGCGGGCGAGGAGCCCTGGCCCCTGCGGAGCAGGACTCACCCCTTCCCCAGGTGAGGACGTTTTTCCTTCCTCCTAAGTGACTAACTAGACTCTCTTGTAATAAAAGCTCACTTGGGGAAATCTGGAGCAGACGAGCAGGTAGAAACGTAGAAAGCTCATGTGTGGGCCCCGCTCCCTAGAGAACCATCTGGAACCGTGTGACTTCCTCCTCCGCCCACGCTCACAAGTCGGGCAGGTTCCGCTAACCCGCACCGCCGTGGACGGCCTTGGGCCTCCTGTGTCTCCTGCACCCCAAGCGTGTCCGTGTCTGTGGACATCCTGCAGCCCAGTCCCCACAGTCCCGGGCCCTCCAGAGCCCTTGGGGGCTGGCGGGGTGGGGAAGGGGGCCCTGTCCTGTCGTCTGCCGCTGGTGGAAGGGGAGGGCAGGCCCGCTGAGCTGGAGGGGGCCCCCGCGCACGCTGCGGAGCTGGGGGCCCAGCAGGACCCTAGTGGCCACCTCATCCCGGCTCAGGCGGTGTCCCGGGTGGGAGCCCAGAGACGTGCTGAGTGGGGAGGGGGCGGTGGATGACCTGCACCCACAGGACCGCCGGGGGGGCTTCACCGCTGGGGGGGTGGGGCGCCAGGGGCAGAGGTGGGGGCAGGACCTGGGTCCCCTCGTCCCTGGTCCTTCCGCCTGCCCCGGCCCCTCCCCTCGCCGTGCCCGCCCGCACCCACCCCAGGGGTCCGCTCCACCCGGACGCCCGGAACCAGCTGGGGAGGGGCCTCCCTTCGCAGACGGCCGAGCCCCCCACCAGCAGGCCGCGGCCTCCATCACCTCAGCTCGAACTCCGCGAACAGCACGTCGAAGTGCCGGAGCGCCTCCCGCATCTTCTCCGTGTAGGTGTTGAGGTCCCGCAGCGCCTGGTCGCGCAGGGCCCCGCGCACATCCTCCAAGCTGCGGGTCAGTTCCTTGGCCAGCGGCCGCATGGCCATGCTCTCCAGCTCGCGGTTCATGATGATGGAGCCGGCGGCTAAGCACTGCGGGTGGCGGAGGCGTCAGGGCGGCTACGCGTGGGCCGGGCCGGGGTGGGGGGCGTGGCCTCCCAGACCCTCCCCCGCCTCTCATCCCGGAGGCCCTCCCCGCCACTCTCTCCATCCTACTCTCTCCGTCGGCCCCTCCTCTCTGGGCACCGGCTCCCTACTGGTTTCTCTTAGACGCACAGCAGTCACCACCGTGATAACAAATGCCCTTGGGTTTGGAGCTCCACGTGGGGCCCTCCTGGGCAGGTGACCCCTGTCTCCTCCCCCTGGCCCCGCAGAAACCCCGCAGACACCACCTTCGGGCCCTCGCCCAGGCCCACAGCCCGGGAGCTGCCCCGGGCTTTCCGAGACTGCCGACCTTTCTAAGACGCAGACACCTCCTGTCCACAAAGCCTCCCTGCCTCGCCTCACGGCCCCTACAGCCGCCCCTGCCCTTGGGACCCACATTGCAGAGGTGGAAACTGAGGCCGGGGGAAGAGACAGCCTGCCTGGGGCCACCCCCACCGTCCGGGGCCGTCCCCAGCGGGGACACCCGAGCCATGTGGCTCAGAGGAGTGGGGTGGGACAGACAGAGATGGGGGAGCAGGTGGGCCCAGGGCCAGCAGTGTGCAGGGAGGCGGGGGCAGGCCAGGAGTCCTGGGGACCTGGGTGGGGGGGAAACCACGTGTGCTAGCGTTCTGAGAGAGGGGCCAGGGAGAGGGGCTCCCCATGGACACCACTGCCCAGAGTGAGGCTGGTCCTGCCTGGGAGGGTCACCTCCCTCCAGAGCCTCGGGCGCCTCCTTGGGAGCTGAACACCATGATCTGAGGGGCCGTGTGAGTGGTGGTGGGAGTGCGGGCTGGGGTGCAGCTCCCCCGGCCCGGGCAGGAGTAAACAGCCCCGTGGGGGGGTCAGTGCTGCCTGAGTATTGGTGTTACAGCAGCAGAGAACCATGTTCACATGTCTGGGGGCTTAAGAACCTCATAGAAATCACATGTGAAACCTCGTGTCTGTATTTGCTTGTGTAGTTTCAGGGGAGCAGGTTCAGCACCGTCTACCACCTGGGGGAGAGGAGACGCCCTGCATCTGCAGGCGCCCACGGAAGACAGTCACGGAGGACCAGCTGGGCTACCTCAGCGCCGAACCACAACTGGCCGGCCAGGTTGTCGTGGCGGATCTCCTCGGGGAACTTGACACAGAAGTCCCTGGGGGCTCGGTCCTGGGGGATGCACGCGTCCATGATTTGGTTAATGATGTTCAGCACGTTGTCCTGAAACAGAAGCGGGAGGGCACTAGGACGCAGCTCCAGCGGGCGGCTTGGCAGGACCACTGGGCAAATCCCAGAAGCAAGCCCTGGTGTGCCGGGAGGTGTCCCGGCCACGCGGCAGCGCCCGGGGGCCTGCGTGGCTCACGCTGTGAGGAGCCCAACCCTCCCAGAAGCACCCAGGGAGGACCACCCGCCTGCCTCCCCTTCCCCACGGCCAGGTGTCTAGGGCACCCGCCACGAGCACTGGGGCACTTCCCACATCAGTCCCCGCGGGCACAGTGCGGCGTCCTCTACGACGGCCGAACCTCCCCCTGCAGACCCACCCTCGGCTCCCTGCAGGCTCGGCCATGGTGACCGCCCCAAACATCTCTCTGAACGCCTGTGCACACATTTCTGAGGACAGAGCTAGAGAAATGGAATTCCTGGGTGGACAGATGGTGGGTAGGTGCCCAATATGCTCATGGAGAAGAGTGGAGAAATAACTCAAGAAAGAATGAAGGGATGGAGCCAAAGAGAAAACAACGCCCAGTTGGGGGTGTGACTGGTGATGGAAGTAAAGTCCAATGCTGTAAAGAGCAATATGGCATAGGAACCTGGAATGTTAGGTCCATGGATCAAGGCAAATTGGACGTAATCAAGCAGGAGATGGAGAGAGTGAACATCGACATTTTAGGAATCAGTGAACTAAAATGGACTGGAGTGGGTGAGTTTAACTCAGATGACTATTATATCTACTACTGTGGGCAGGAATCCCTTAGAAGAAATGGAGTAGCCCTCACAGTCAACAAGAATCCGAAATACATTACTTGGATGCAACCTCAAAAACAAGAGTGATCTCTGTTCATTTCAAGGCAAACCATTCAATATCACAGTAATCCATGTCTGTGGCCCAACCACTAATGCCAAAGAAGTTGAAGTTGAACATGTCTATGAGGACCTACAAGATCTTCTAGAACTAACACCCAAAAAAGGTGTCCTTGTCATCACAGGGGATTGGAATGCAAAAGTAGGAAGTCAAGAGATACCTGGAGTAACAGGCAAGTTTGGCCTTGGAGTACAAAATGAAGCAGGGCAAAGGCTAACAGAGTTTTGTCAAGAAAATGCACTGGTCATAGCAAACACCCTCTTCCAACAAAACAAGAGACAACTCTACACATGGACATCACCAGATGGTCAACACCGAAATCAGATTGATTATATTCTTTGCAGGCGAAGATGGAGAAGCTCTATACAGTCAGCAAAAACAAGACCAGGAGCTGACTGTGGCTCAGATCATAAATTCCTTATTGCAAAATTCAGACTTAGATTGAAGAAAGTAGGGAAAACCACTAGACCATTCATTTAGATACGACCTAAATCAAATCTCTTACGATTATGCAGTGGAAGTGACAAACAGATTCAAGGGATTAGATTTTATAGACCGAGTGCCTGAGGAACTATGGATGGAGGTTCGTAACATTCTACAGGAGGCAATGATCAAGAACATCCCCAAGAAAAAAAAAAAAGGAAAAAGGTAAAATATTGTCTAAGGAGGCCTTACAAATAGCTGAGAAAAGAAGAGAAGCTAAAGGCAAAGGAAAAAAGGAAAGATATACCCATTTGAATGCAGAGTTC